TCAAATATCAGGTAACTGCAACGTGTTAGTAAGTGTATAAGTGAACAGTGATGTTAATACAACAACCTAATAATTTTATACTGCTGTCTCATGCGTGTTTCATTCAAAACATTTTTCATCCATAACACCTGCTGTGCTTAGTAAATGTAACAAGACTAGTGGTTTTGGACACATTCTCGGTTGATAAGCCATGACAGTTGCAACAGAAGATCAGCTGCTGCGTCTGATGGAATGAGAGCTGGGTTGTGTAACATCAGACGAGATACTTTAGTACTTAATCATATCTGGACCTAAACGATGACAGCTTTTATACAGCTATAACAAAAGTGACCTTGTACTTTGCCTCCACATGCTGTTGTGATACTGGATTCACTGATGTGTCACCAGTGACAGCTCTCAACTTAGTTACTTTTTTTTAGGAGCCCAATTAAAGTTTACTGTCTGTGAAACCAGCAGCTTGAGTTTGCATTACTTTCTCATCAGGGTCCTTCTTCTGTCACAGAAGCATCGGTCATTCTGATAGGTTAGCTCCCATCATCCAAGCAGTCCTGCTGCTCTGGCTAACGAACTTAAAGGAGCAGCAACAGAAAGAGACTGCAGACGACTGGGAGGTCATTAATGTATCATCTAAACCACACCCTTATGATCTATCTATCTATCTATCTATCTATCTATCTATCTATCTATCTGTCTGTCTGTCTGTCTGTCTGTCTGTCTGTCTGTCTGTCTGTCTATCTATCTATCTATCTATCTATCTGTCTGTCTGTCTGTCTGTCTGTCTGTCTGTCTGTCTGTCTGTCTGTCTGTCTGTCTGTCTGTCTGTCTATCTATCTATCTGTCTGTCTGTCTGTCTGTCTGTCTGTCTGTCTGTCTGTCTGTCTGTCTGTCTGTCTATCTATCTATCTATCTATCTATCTATCTATCTATCTATCTATCTATCTGTCTGTCTGTCTGTCTGTCTGTCTGTCTGTCTATCTATCTATCTATCTATCTATCTATCTATCTATCTATCTATCTATCTATCTATCTATCATCTATCTATCTATCTATCATCTATCTTTCTATCATCTATCTATCTATCTATCTATCTATCTATCTATCTATCTATCTATCTATCTATCTATCTATCTATCTATCTATCATCTATCTATCTATCTATCTATCTGTCTGTCTGTCTGTCTGTCTGTCTGTCTGTCTGTCTGTCTGTCTGTCTATCTATCTATCTATCTATCTGTCTGTCTGTCTGTCTGTCTGTCTGTCTGTCTGTCTGTCTGTCTATCTGTCTGTCTGTCTGTCTGTCTGTCTGTCTGTCTGTCTGTCTGTCTGTCTGTCTGTCTGTCTGTCTGTCTGTCTGTCTGTCTGTCTGTCTATCTATCTATCTATCTATCTATCTATCTATCTATCTATCTATCTATCTATCTATCATCTATCTATCTATCTATCTATCTATCTATCTATCTATCTATCTATCTATCTATCTATCTATCTATCTATCTATCTATCTATCATCTATCTATCTATCTATCATCTATCTATCTATCTATCTATCTATCTATCTATCTATCTATCATCTATCTATCTATCTATCTATCTATCTATCTATCTATCTATCTATCTATCTATCTATCTATCTATCTATCTATCTATCTATCTATCATCTATCTATCTATCTATCTATCTATCTATCTATCTATCTATCTATCTATCTATCTATCTATCTATCTATCTATCTATCTATCATCTATCTATCTGTCTGTCTGTCTGTCTGTCTGTCTGTCTGTCTGTCTGTCTGTCTGTCTATCTATCTATCTATCTATCTATCTATCTATCTATCTATCTATCTATCTATCTATCTATCATCTATCTATCTATCTATCTATCTATCTATCTATCTATCTATCTATCTATCTATCTATCTATCTATCTATCATCTATCTATCTATCTATCTATCTATCTATCTATCTATCTATCTATCTATCTATCTATCTATCTATCTATCTATCTATCTATCTATCTGTCTATCTGTCTGTCTGTCTGTCTGTCTGTCTGTCTGTCTGTCTGTCTATCTATCTATCTATCTATCTATCTATCTATCTATCTATCTATCTATCTATCTATCTATCTATCTATCTATCTATCTATCTATCTATCTATCTATCTATCTATCTATCTATCTATCTATCTATCTATCTATCTATCTATCTATCTATCTATCATCTATCTATCTATCTATCTATCTATCTATCTATCTATCTATCTATCTATCTATATATCTATCTATCTATCTATCTATCTATCTGTCTGTCTGTCTGTCTGTCTGTCTGTCTGTCTGTCTATCTATCTATCTATCTATCTATCTATCTATCTATCTATCTATCTATCTATCATCTATCTATCTATCTATCTATCTATCTATCTATCTATCTATCTATCTATCATCTATCTATCTATCTATCTATCTATCTATCTATCTATCTATCTATCTATCTATCTATCTATCTATCTATCTATCTATCTATCTATCTATCTATCTATCTATCTATCTATCTATCTATCTATCTATCTATCTATCTATCTATCTATCTATCTATCTATCTATCTATCTATTTATCTATCTATCTATCTATCTATCTATCTATCTATCTATCTATCTATCTATCTATCTATCTATCTATCTATCTATCTATCTATCTATCTATCTATCTATCTATCTATCTATCATCTATCTATCTATCTATCTATCTATCTATCTATCTATCTATCTATCTATCTATCTATCTATCTATCATCTATCTATCTATCTATCTATCTATCTATCTATCTATCTATCTATCTATCTATCTATCTATCTATCTATCTATCTATCTATCTATCTATCTATCTATCTATCTATCATCTATCTATCTATCTATCTATCTATCTATCTATCTATCTATCTATCTATCTATCTATCTATCTATCTATCTATCTATCTATCATCTATCTATCTATCTATCTATCTATCTATCTATCTATCTATCTATCTATCTATCTATCTATCTATCTATCTATCTATCTATCTATCTATCATCTATCTATCTATCTATCTATCTATCTATCTATCTATCTATCTATCTATCTATCTATCTATTTATCTATCTATCTATCTATCTATCTATCTATCTATCTATCTATCTATCTATCTATCTATCTATCTATCTATCTATCTATCTATCTATCTATCTATCTATCTATCTATCTATTTATCTATCTATCTACTACAGTAACTGTAAGTGTAACACCTAAAGACCGGATGGATAAACTAGAACTTCATCTAGTAAACCAGAAGAAACATTTTTGTACCGGCCGTCCTAAAACACACATATGGTCTGTTTCTGGTAGAGGTAGCTGTTGAGAGTGTTGCCACAAGTCTCGTTTGCTACTCACTTAGACAAACGTTGTCATGGAAAAAAGCAAGGAAGTCACTGCATTGTTCCCTGTGGTTGCCGCTCGCTGCGCAGGAGCACCAGGGTCCCACCTTGGATGTGGAGTTGTCAAGGTAGTTGGGAGTTATTGTACTTCCTGTAGGGCGAAGGAGAGAGAAAACAGCACAAGTCTGAATGTTTACAGGCTTTGTTGGATGAAAGACATTCTCATCAAAATGCAGCGCTTGAATTTGACCGTAGGTTAGCTTTCATAAATAGACTGCGATCTGTGATTTACTTGAACAGAACTGAATATTCAATAGTTTTCTTGGTTCTTGTTATTCAGACTCTTCCACCTGCGTTCCCTTCTGAACAACCTTTTACCTGTAAACACATCATACTGTATAATGAACTTCTGATGTGATGTAAAGCAAAAGTTTAAGCACAATCCTTGAATGATGTTGCGCCTGATTAGAACATTGCTCTCATTACAGTAACCTTTAATAAAGAAACTTCAATGGAAGTTCCTGTTATCACAGAATTACCTAAATGATGTTTTGACAGAGATAACAGTCACAGTTACATTATTTCATTCAGACATGTCACACGCCAAGCACACACAGAAAAAAGTGGACATTAAATGAGTAAGATAACCGTAGGCTAAAGATGAGGTTTGTACCCACTTCAGCTGGTAGGGAGAACGCAGCTCACACATGCACAACTGGAAGAGCAGCTTGTTGCTGAGTCTCTGTTTGGCATATGCAAACCAGGTAGACACCATTTTTTGGAAGATACAGCAATTTAGCTCCAAAAGCTGTGATAATAATGAGACTGAACCACTTCAATGGGCTGCCAAGAATATATGTTTCTAATAGGAAATCTAAAGAGCTAAAACTGAATGACTAAACTGTAAAATAAGAATGAGGAACTACCCAGAGTCTAGAGCACAACCTGATTGAGATGCTCTGCTATGACGCTAGACTGCAGGAAGACATGTGTGCAACCTCAATGAAGTGAAGCAACGATAGAAAGAAGAGTGGACTAAAAGGAGCAATTAGTGATGACAAAACAAGCAGTTGGATTAAAAGTTCTGGGGTCTCATTTATCAAACATCACGTAAAGCCTTACTAAAACCGTACTTAAGCTCAGCAAAAAAAAAAAGTACTTACGCCAAGCAGGTGTGTGATCTATCAAACATGGAGGACACACAGCTGCACGCAATCTCCGCTTCATAAATCAGAGACTAACAGGAATGGTTCTCAGCTGCTTTTTAGTCACATCCCGCCCTCACCACGCCCACTTACTGCCATAAACGGTGAATGCAAAGTGCCTTGTGGACCTCATGCATATACATAAGCCGGCTGTTGCAGCGCTCCGCCAATGAGATGGCGACCGTGGATCAAGGCAGATCAAGGAAGCGCTATTTCACAGAAGCAGAAGCTGAGGTACCTGTGGGTGAGGTGGAGAAATGAAAGGAAGTGCTTTTGCAAAACAAATAAGAGAAAATCCACGGAGTGGCACAGCGTTGCTGAAGCCGTCAATGCTGGCAGTTCTTCAGAGAGATCTGTGGCGGCTATAAAAAATGGTCCAATTGGGATTCAATCCACAGATTCCCAGGTGAAAGTCACGTGCGCTAACCAGTCACCCAAACGGAGATCTCCCTTGTCCAAGTAGCCAGGGCGCATGATCAATCGGGTCACAGTAACAGGACACACACTGTCACAGACGCATGATGTTCTGTCTCAATCTGTCCCCCTGCTGATACTGCGCTACAGGCTGTGTGTGTGTGTGTGTGTGTGTGTGTGTGTGGGTGTGTGTGTGTGTGTGCGTGCATGTGGGGGGTCTTGTTCTGTGTGAAAACGAAGCAGTACAAGTGATAATGCTGCAGGATTTCATAATTTTATCCTTCTCAGCAGCAGCACTGCAGGTGCTCTCCATGTCCAACGTGTGTGTAAGCCAGGTCCTTAGTCAACTTAAAGTTGCGCACAATTTTCCACTAAGTTTTCTTTCATAAATCCCAAAGTTTGCGTGGAAAGTTGATTACGCAGTTTTCCGACCCCGTTTTGTGTGTGAGCAAGCTTGATAAATGAGGCCCCAGAGTTTTTAAAAGACTACCTTGTTATTTGGTTTAGATTTTCTTAAATGTCTCAGAGCTTTATGCTATCAGTTGTAAGTCGCTTTGGACAAAAGCGTCTGCTAATCACATAAACATAAACATATCTGATGTTGCGTTAAAGTAACGCTGAACAGTTTTGAACACTATAACCCTCTCAGGTTCAAAATAAGTTTTGATAAAAGGACGAACAACTAAGTCCTTCAGGGGTTCTTCAGAGTTAAAAAATGCTCATGAAATATGTATGTGGAGTACTCAGGTAGGCAGGTTTTAACTGTTGCAGATCTACAACGCCTGCCTCTAGAGGGTCTATTTAAAAGTATTCATTTAAAAGTGGGGTTCAGTGAATGCGTAGGTAGAAACTTGACCAACATCTACTTGGACACCACTCTGCAGGCCTCTGCTGACCACTTAGTAGTTTTGTGGGACAGGTAGGTGCCCTAGGGGGAGATCTCTACCTGTTTAATCGTGGGCGACCGTGGCACAAAGAGTGCTCGCCCGTAATTCGGAAAGTTGCAGGTTCGAGCCCCACTCAATCTGTCACTGTTGTCGTGTCCTTGGACAAGACACTTAACCCACCTTGACTGCTGGTGGTGGTCGGAGGGACCGGTGGTGCCTGTGAGCGGCAGACTCGCATCTGTCAGTGCACCCCAGCACAGCTCTAGCTACAATGTAGCTCATCACTACCAGGGTGTGAATGTGCGTGAATGGGTGAATGACTGATTGTGTTGTAAAGCACCTTGTGGGGTTCCAGGACTCTGAAAGGTGCTATATCAAATACAGGCCATTTGCCATTTAATGGCTCTTAGCTGTTTTCAGTGCCGGGAGCTAATAAAAACAGTAGCAGTTAGCTTTTTCAGTTTACAAACCAGCTTTTGGCTTTTTATTGGCAACATGGTGGAGCCTAGGGGTAAAAGTAAAATACTAATGTCTTGGAGGTGAAGCAAATAATTAAAATCAGACTGTCTTCGGAGGGAGCTAAAGGAGGAAATGAACTCACGGGCTGATGGTGGCCTGGCTTTGTTGCTATTGCACTTGTAAGTAATAATATTTTGGTATTTTTGTGTGGATCTTTTTACTTTGTGCTTTATTTTAGTATCAGTTGGCTCGTGTTAATATTAGCTCATTGTTAGCGTTAGCTACTGCAGGCTGTGCAAGGGTTTCCAGCAGCAGTTGTAATTCCACTTTCGACCAGAAGGATGGAGAAGCAGGAAACTGTTTAGTGTTACTTTAATCTAATTCTAAGAATCAGTTGATCCTTTTATTATGTCTCATTGTGTAAAATCATGAAAATAAGGTTTTACTCTTTGACTGTAACACATTCACTAAAAAGTGCTCTTTTTATCTATCCATCCATTTTCAGTCACTTGTCCAGAGTTGGGTCGTAGGCGCAGCAGCGTAGGGCCCAGACTTCCCTCTCCCCAGCCACTTAGGCCAGCTCCTCCGGGGGAATCCAAGGTGTTCCCTGGTCAGCCGAGAGACATAGCATCTCCATTGTGTCCTGGGTCTTCCCTCGGGTCTCCTCCCAGTTGGATATGCCCGTACAACCTCACCAGAGTGTCATGAGCCGGGGTGAGTACTCGTCTCATCTTCTCACGATCTCTGAGTGCTTGGTTTCAGGAGAGGGAGCAACAGCTGTTTCTAATCAGCTGATCAGCGGGCCGGTTTACAAGGAGGAAGGTGGACATGACTCGACGCTGGATGATTGCCACTAACTGGTAGTTTCTAGCCCTCGCGTATCTCTAGCTCTAGTTTCTCTAGTGTATTTTTTTCTCGTGACTTGGATTGATACTTTTTATGGATTTACTCACCTCAGGTCTGGATTACCATCAGGATTTTTCCCAACGCCGTTTTGGATTATTCTCTGGTTCGTCTCCTTGTTCACCCTCCTCCAAGTGCCGACCCGATCTCCTCCACCTCTCGCTCCCTCTCCAGAACCACCCCGGTCCAATTTCACCATTCACCTCAAACGCTCTACATTCATTCCCTGGACTTACCCCGGCTCACCCCTCCCACACACGTCTCGTCTCTCTAAGCCGTAAGTCCCTCTGTCCGCAATTCCCCTACCATACTACTACTTCCATACTCACCCCTGTTCATCTCCCCTCTAGACACTGCTTCCCGTTTCTGCACCCGCTGGTTTTCCAGTGCGCTCTTAGTTCATTGTTTTGTCAATACATATTATCATTTTTTCAAACTACCCGTCTCTGACTCTGATTCTGCATGTCCTGGGTTAGACTCTTGCCCCACAACATGACACAGAGAGGCATCCAGGAAGCTTCCTGACCAGATGCCTGAGCCACCTCAACTGGCTCCTCTTGAGTCCTCCCTGGACTGCCACCTAACCGTGGTGGAGGGGTTTGTGTGTCCCAACGATCCTAAGAGCCAAGTTGTCTGAGGCCTTATGCCTCTGGTAGGGTCAACCATGGTAAACAGGCCCTAGGTGAGGGATCAGACAAAGTGCAGCCCATAGTCACCTTATGGAGAAAAACGCAGATGGAAACCGTGTTCCCTTGCCTGGACACGTGTCACTGGGGCCCCCCTCTGGAGCCAGGCCTAGAGTTGGGGCACATTGGTGGGCATCTGGTAACCAGACTTTTACCCATGGAGCCCCCGGCCGAGCACAGCCCGAAGAGGAGACGTGGGTCCCCATTTCCATGAGCTCACTACTCGTGGGATTGGGTGCACTGTGTGTCGGGTGGTAGCCAAAGGTGGGGACCTTGGTAGTGTTCTTTTTAATGAGATCACATTTTAGATAATGAAAAAAATTGAACATCAGTTTTCTAGAATTAACACTCTGAAACTTCAGTCTCAGATTGTATTTGCTTCTCAAGGCTCATCGCAGCAGCACAGCGTTTGGTCTCGATCTACCTGCAGTCATTTGCGGTGGTATTTTATCTGAAGAAGAATAGCTCTAGTCTTTGTATCCATGTGAGACAAGTCATTGTCATGTTGGGGATAATTCTCTCAAAACAGCAGTCAATAGCTTAAATTGCACTACTTATGATGCTAGTGATTTGGCCAAGCACCCTGCAGCCACATTAATCAGCACTCCATCGATCACCAAGGCAATCTTCTAGTCACAATCCTTATAATGTTCTTTTGAGTCCTGTTCAGTGCACTTGTCAGCTCCCTCCCTTTAAAACCTTGTTCTACCCAAACTAGCACACAGAGTATGAGAGTCAGACCTGGAACAGGATTATTTAGTCCTTACCTATCAAGCCGGTGTATGCAAGAAGACATGCTCTGTAGTTTTCCTGCTTGCAGCCGCTGCTGCTCTGGTCAGTGGGTTGGCAGTCATACTGGAACTGTGCCCAGCGAGACCTGTGGGAGAAATAACATGCCATCCATCATTTACTTGTACTTGGCTGCTGAATGCATCACGTGGCTCAGTGGTGTCAAGCACTGGTGCATTTTCTTAACAACAGGATGTAGATCTAAAACCCACATTGCTCATGTAAATACACTTCCTGCTAAATCAACTCCCTCTGTCTTACAAGAGCATTCACACTGCAGCTCCTCTCCCAATAACATGGTCACCTCTGATGGCATTCAACCCACTGTTTCCTTTTGTGTCCACTCCCCAGCCAGTTACCCTTCATAAAGGCTGACAGATAGGATCCGCTCTCATAAGACACACAGGGCTGTCACCATAGTGGGTCTTATGGTGAAATGGTGATGCAGGAATCTTACGGCACATGATCGCGCCACATTACCACCACAGTCTGACCACTTGTGAATGACCAAAGGCTCCCTGATACCAGCTCAGCTTTGTAGCAAATTGACTGCATTGTTTTATGAAAGAGGCTAAACCGCAGTCAACGAGGGACAAAGACAGGCCTTGGCTTTACTCTCTAGATACCATAGACGCTCTCTGGCAGGCGTGGCTCCAAGGAGATGAGACAGATATGAATGTTCCATATAAATACTTCCTTCCATGGCCATTTTGCCTTTCTCTCTTACCTCTTGAGCCAGCAACCCGGACATTAACCCTCATAACCATCGTTATCATACAAGGCTATTGTGGCCATCATATCGCATCACTGGCCACACAACTACTGGCATTTGCAACGGGATTCCCTCAGGGCACCACAACTCTCTGTTCTGCCCTCATTCGTCTTGTTATAGTAATGATGTGAATAAAACCCATCGGCTGTGCAGTAAGTGAAGACAGCCTCTGCAGGTGGCCAGTTAATGCCAGCTGACTGGTGCAGGATTACTGGGCCATGCAGGGGCCTTGAGATGCTCCATTCATTGGTGCAGCGATGGAGAATAATGCCTGATCGATAGACATGACAAATGAAGTCCTTTGTCTTCTTGACATTTGAAAAGGAACTAGATTAAACACTACCGACCATCTGCTGACAGAGAGCCAAGGTTGGTAAGATGGGTCTGAGGACTCCTTGTTAGGACACCCTGAATGCATTCTAATGACTTTGTAATCTATTGCTGGTTTTTGATTGAACAATTTGGAATTCATTACAATTTGAAGGACATCTTTGTTCTCATTAATGTGGTGTATAAGCAAGTATTTAATGCTGAATAAACACACAGCGATAACATAGTTGGATTGACTTTGTGAGGTTCCTACAGGTCTGCATGATTTTTGACATTAAAGATCATCTGAGCAGGTGTAACAACAAAGTAAACCCCATGTGATGATTGTAACTGTTTATCATAATAACGGTTTCACATGGCTGCTTGCTGCCTGGCTGCATCCCTCAGAAAATACATGCAGGATTTAATTAAACTAATTGAACAAAGGTAATGGGTGTCACAGTGGAATTAATTAAACTAAACTGGCTAATCAAATTTAAATGAAAACATCACATCATGCAGACCATCCTCCAAGTCATATAATACAATTTGTTGTCCTAAGGGAGAGGTACAGAGAAAGGACCAAAATAAAACAAACAAACAAACAAACAAACAAAGTTCCAACAACTCTTCAGTCAGCTCTCAGCCTTCCACACCGATCAATCTCCTCATCGGCTTGTGATGAGTAAGTGTACAATCAATCCATCCATCCATCCATCCATCCATCCATCCATCCAAGCTCTGGTTACTGGACCTGCACGACTTTTTGGAGTCGATACATCTACAGTACATTTTAATTTAGAGTATCTTCAAGCAAATGAGAAAAATGTTTAGGGTTGAGAGAAAAAATCTAAATGGCATGGTTGTGTTGATGTAAGAAGATTAGTTGTGTTTGGGAACAATCATTTTCTGAGGTAAAATAAAGTACTGGGAAGTCAGAGAAACAGCAGGAAATCAGTAAAAAACATTTTAGCTTCATTTTATCTGGTGTGAGCGCTAAATTATTAAGTCAAGCACTTTAAAGAAACATATTTGTCTTTTTAAATTTTTATTGGTGGGCGTTTTAACCACGTCCACAGAACCAGCGACAAGAACAAACTACCGATATTTGTAAAGCAACACTATAAAGTTTCTGTCCCCCCCACCACCCCCACCACCCACCCCCCCACCCCCACCCACCCAAAAGATTTCTTCTGCTTTTGCTTTTTTTTTGGTCACATAAATGTTTTAGATCAGCAAATAAACTGTATTGTCAAACAAAGAGAACTTCAGTAAATACAAAGCAGTTTTCAAATGATTATTTTGTTTAAGAGGACAAAGCTATCCAGAGCAGAACCTGGTCCTTTGTTGAAAAGTAAGAGACAATGTGTAGTTTTTACCACTACTCTCTGGAAATCCATCTAAATGTTGTTGAAAATGAATAAAACGCTGCAGCGTTGTTGAAAAATATTGGCGGCTTTGTGACATCTAACCATAAAAATCAGGTCTAAAATATACAAGGGGGGTGGTGATGAGGGTGTCTATGGGTGTTTCTCAATGTCATGGCGCCTGGCCTTGTGAGGCGATGTCTTGCGAGGCCAGGCGTCTTGCTTACGAGGACACTGTCCTTCCTTGGTCAAAGAAAACGGTTAAATGGAACAGACTTGCATCACGTAACCGCGGCTTCCACGGCGGTCACGTAACGTCATGTGACACGGGAGATAACGTTATATTTTATACGTATTAGTTTCAGTATGAATATATAACAAGCCTTTTAATTTTAAATTGTGTATATGTTTATTAAATAAAAAATATAAGGGAGTTACTACTCGCTAGCCAACGAAGCTGCAACTACTAAGCAACTGACCAACCATAGATAACTTCTTTGGATCCAAAAAAAAAACATTTTAAATTAGTTGACTTACTTTTAAACTTGAAAATTGTCCCCACAGTGGCTGCAGGCTTTTGATCTATAGTCCTTTTGAAAATACTGCGGTGTATTCTGGGTAATTTTGACCAAGGCTAGGCTATAAGACACCTCCCGTGTATCCCTGCTCAGCTAGCTGAACGGCTAACAAACGGAGAACGCATGCCAGGGGAGAATAGGAACATTGGAACCGATTAGAACACGTCTTGGCGGCCCCGGATGACGTATCTCCTAGGCAACCGGGGCAGGGCCAAGACATCAAGGCAAGGTTCCTTGACATTGAGAAAAAACCCCATGTCTCTGGGAGAACATATTGGACACCACGTTTCCTTCTACCGAAGCCCGTGAGGACAAAATACATTTACTGATTTGTAACAAATGATTACAGAACTTTTGCCATTCATCATGGTTGCAATGATAATAATAATGGCAATAATAAGGCATACACTGCCCACTATTGCCAAGGAAAATACATATTGTCACTTTAAATTCCACTGAAATGTACTAAATCGTTAAACTCTTGGATGTCGTGATCTGCTGGTATTCAGTAAGTTCTTATCTCAGCTACCGTGTCCCTTTGCACATCTGCTTTTCATCAGTAAATGCTCACCTGTTTTCTCCTTGTTTAGCTTCTGCCACTGCTCCCCCTTGTCATTAGCACTACCTTGGTAACGGTGGGCCACTGTGGCTGCATGTTTTTAATAAGTTCCTTCTCAGAAACACCTGATCGTTGCTAACGCTACAGCAGGCTAAAATGACAGTCCTATGTATCACTTGGCTTCAATACACAAATGAAAAATGCTTTTATATTCCTCTTCCTCCTCATCCACAGTAAGTCTGAAGTTTACAAACTGACATAAATTCAGTGCAGGTCAAGTTAGCATGCAAGCTAGGTTGGTGTGCTTTTTTGTTTAGGGAACCATTGTTGTTGGCTACATTAGCTTGTGAAAACATAAGCTGCAACTTAATACACAATGGGACTCTGGGATGCAAACAGTTTCTAAATGCTGAGATTAAAGGAAATTAATGACACCAACTGAATAGAAACGCTCGTGAATCTAATTTAAATGTCCTGTTTCTGTTGGAGTGGACGTTTAACACCATAACTAAACAAATTGTCTAAGTTAAGTTGTCTGAACTCGTTTAAGCCAATCCAGCTTCCAATGACATTTTCCCATCCTTGCCCTCGGTGTGACTAGAATGCCTTGTTAGGCTTGCTTTGTGGTATTTAAACATTTCAGTAGAAGCATTATAAAATCCAAAGGACAACAATAGCAATACCATATGAGCGAGTCAGAAGAGTCAGCATATCTACCTGCACACATAGTCTGCCTTGCAGATCCTCAGTTGGGACAAACAGTTGGGCTTGTCCTTTTCTTCATAAGAGCAAGATGGCACAATGGTTTGCCTGCGGCGTTCTGCACACGCTGTATCGGTGCAGGGACAGAATAGCAACTCATGGGTGTAGTCTGGGGGAACACGGTCAAAGAACTTCCTGAGTGCCTTGTTGCACTTTGGTCGGTTACATGGCCCCGAGCGGGCTGATGGCTGAATGCAGGCTGAGACATACTCCGTACGAAGTTTCTGACATGTCTCATCTATGTTACACGCCTTGGCAGCATCCAGGCAGCGGTTCACCGTTGTTACCTCAGACTCTGGAAAGATCAAAGGACACAAATGTGAGATAGGAAACTTGTCGCCGTTTAGAATTTCAAAACCAGGGTAAGTGACTTCAAGGCCCACTGGCTGACACGCTTCTCACCTCTGGACTCAGACTCAGTGTTGTGTTCCCAGATGAAAACATTGAAATGTGACTCTTGAGTAGAACTAACCCAAAATGATCAAGATGTGTTAAAAGCAGCTTTGTGATGAATAGAACATGAATAGTGCTTTAAAGTTGAATGAGCTTGGGTCATGGATGTGTTCCAGTGAAGGTCTAATAATTGAATCTTTCATTCTGCTAGGTTAATGCAGAGTGGCAGCACAGAAGACGTAGCCCTCCATCTCTCCAACTGCACAACAAGGCCTGTAATTACTGCTCATCCCATCCATCCATCTATTCATCGATACACCTCTCCCTCCCCACATCTGGGGCCATGGACGTAATTGGGGGGGGGGGGGGGGGGGGGGGGGTGTGTGCAGGGGGGGACATGTCCCCCCCCACTTTTTCCAAAGTCAAGTTTTGACCCTACACTTTTTACCATCCAAAAACAACATACGCTTTATTAAATTGACACTGGTTGAGCTCTAGTACCAAGCGGAAAACAACCATTTGTGTTGAAGCTGGTTTCCCATTAGAGCATACTGTAAAGATACCCCCCCCCCCCCCCCCCCCCCCACACACCCCCCCCCCACACACACACACACACAACACACACACTTCTAAAGGAAAATTACGTCCATGTCTGGGGCCATCCCTTACCCACCTGATTCCTTCCATTGCTATGCGCCTCCCGTTCTCTGTGTTGTCATCCTGACTCCACCTGTCCCATCTCCTCCCTTACTTATCTCTCTCTGCTCTCCTCCATCTATTTTTCTTCAGCTTTGTCCATCTCTGCCTCCCTCAGTGCCCATGTTCCTGTTGACATCACTGGTAATGAGCCACCAACGTGGTGGAAGGGGAACATCCCCTTTGTATCCTCCTCTTTTTGGTTGCACATTTTCCCTGATACATCGTTTTGTGTTGATGTATTATTTTTTTATATTCCCCATGTGGCCCCTCCAGTCAATACTGCCATGATGATGCTTAGCTCCTCTGGCAGATAATGCCGCTCATTAGTTTGTTAAGTGCCAGTGGTTGTGTCTCCTGGTGGATTTAACACTGACCGAGCTGTCATATTAAAAAAGAATGACCTTGGAGAGTGAGCTAATGGCCCATCATAAAGCTCAGGTTACTGTGTTCCCAACTTAAACTGCTTGGAAGTCCATTGGGGTGGATGGAACAGACATTGACAAATAGTTTCTTGTGGCCATATGGATGAGACGGCCTATAAGCACACACCTTTTCATGTTAACTCTTGGTTGTTGTGCTTTTGTACTTAATTTCTTCCCCACACGTGAACCAAGTAGGCTACTACTTCTTTGTTTCTACTTGGAAGGAGTGGAAGCTTGCCTGAAACCAAAATAGGGATCATTCTCCATTAAAACCTCCCGTAATCTATACTAGTTTTTATCCTTATTTTACAGCACGGAGCCTTTCATTACTGCCATTATTTCCCATAGCCTTGGTTTCCCCAACCACGGAGCCATGGACCAGCAG